CCGCAGAGCTGGGGAGAAGGGGGACCCTGCCCCCCCCCCCCCCCCCGCCCCCCCCCCGGGGTTCCCCGACCCCCCGGGGCACAGCCTCCTCAGATGGTGTTGGGACAAAATGAAGCGTGAGGAATTGCAGGGAGGAGGGGAGACTTCTGGGGAGAGCCAGAACCAGACAGCAGCCCGTGGGAGGAAGGCGAGTCTGTAAAAGCCTGAGTGAAATGAGCTAGAAGGGGATTGGGAACAAGCCCCACAGTGTCCCAGAGCCACATTCCTGCTCTGGGGAGACGGAGAGTGGATGGTGTGAGCAAGGACGGAGGGGACACTGGGGGGGGGGGCAGCCCCTCCAGCCGAGGGCTCTCCTGCCAAGAAGAGCAGGGTGGGAAAGCGAGTTTGAGAACCCGGGCGATGCCCAGGGACAACAAAGCCACTTCCTCTCTCAGCCTCAAGCCAAGCGAGGCCTGCTTGGGGCCCCAGAGACCAGCCGAGCAGGTCCCAGGGAGCCCCAGAAGTCCGAGCCGGGAGATCGGGTCGCTGCTCTTCTGGCACTGGCCAACATGAGGTGCCACCTGCAAATGTGCTCGTGGGAGGGCAGCCGCGCTCTGGGGTTCGGGCCGGTGGGGGCCCCAGCCACATGTGCATGTGCGTGAGGACGAGGGTTTGCCTTCTTCCCGAGGTGGCGACAGGAATCAGGGCAGCCCGGGTCAGAATGCTCCGGAGGAATTCTGGGTCGGCCCAGAGACGGGGACAAAAGAGCAGCTGGGTGAGGAGCTGCGGGGGGGCCCAGTCGCAGAGGTGGGGGCTGGAGGCCGGCAGAAGTCTGGCTGCTTCCCGGGCCCCACGGCACCCCTCAGCTCCCAGCCCCGGGCCCCTGACCCCGACTCTCCTCTTAACTTAGATCATCCCAAATGCCAGCCCAGGAGGCCGTCCCCCATCCCCCCAGGGTGAGGTGGTTGGGCACATTGTTCCTGCATCCCTGGGGAGGCCAGGGGTGGAAGGCTGGGCTGGAACAGAGGATCCTCAGGCATCGTCTCTGTCTTCTCCCCTCTCCCCCATCTGGGCCTCTCGCCTTCTGGGACCGGAGGCCTGGGTTTCCCAGGACAGCTTTCCTTTTGGTGTGGCCCCACCGATTCTGCCCCAAGAGTCTGAGGAGTCCCAGGTGTATCCCTGTTTCAAGGGTTCAGCACCAGCCCTAAAAGAGCTTCTCACCTGAGTGGCAGGTGCCGTCCTTCACAAGTCTGCATGGAGGTCTGGGAAGGGTGGGTTTGGGCCCTGCGCCTTGTCCAGCCTCAAGCCCGTGAGCCAGAGCCCAGCCTGCGCCCCCCGGAGCAGGGCTCCCGCCCCTCCCTGGAAGGGACTCTGCTCCCAGCCCGGAGCTCCCTCACCCACTGTCTGAGTATTTTTGTAAGTAAAACTCTACATTCCAGGTGGGGTTTGAACTCAGGACCCCGTAGTCAAGACTCTGAGCCAGCCAGACGCCCCCATCTGAGCATTTCAACCCAGGGTTTGGCCAGTTCCACGCGTGAGCCGGACACAGGCCCCTGGGCTGGGGGTGGAGGGGCGCACCTGTTTCACTTGCGGGAGGGGACCGCGCATCTGTCAGTCCTGCCACCGTGCACCTTTCTCCCAGACCAGACGGGGCCCCTAAGTGTGGTGGACAGGAGGGGGGGGCAGGAAGGGTGGCCTGCACTAGGTCTGGGGCTCAGGGGTCAGGGCGGACTCCTGGGGTTATCTCTGTCCAGTACCCGGCTTTGGGGAAACCACGAGCGATCCCCTCGGGGCTCTGGACAGGAATCGGCTGTGAGAGTCCACGGGGTCCCCGTGATGTGAGAGAATGGATGGCGACAGGGGTCAGGGCTCTGTGGACAGGTAGGGAGAGCGGGAAGAGCCCCACCCACCGGGCCAGGTTGAAGCCCCAAGGGAAGGAGCCCCAGCGGGCCAGGCTAGTGAGCAGGGGGAGGGAAGTGGGGGACCCACTGCAGTCTGACCCCCAAGTCAAGCCTGTTTGGGGCAAGGAGTAGGTGCAGAGGGGACAGGTTGGGGTCACCTCTGCCTGGGGCCAAGGCTGTGCCACGGAGACAATGGCTCTCTGTCCCGGCGCGGGGATGACAGCTCATCTCTATGCGGTGGCTGCCGACCCCTTTCAGGCAGTGGAAGCCAGTGGAGGGGAATTCTCACAGGCCGGGGGCATTTGCATAGCCGGGCTCGCCTGCCGGAGACATTGGCCCGCATTGTTCCCGCCGGGGCGGTGGCGGCCTCCGTGGCGCACGGGCCGGGGTGCGTGGGGGCGGGCTGCAGGGCCAGACAAAGGGGCTGGGGCGCAGAGCTGGGAGGCGGCGGGCAGGGGTCCTGATGGTGGGAGAGAAATATTGGGGTGAGGCGGGGCACCCGCCGAGCCACCGACCCACACTTCGGACACCCACGCCGTGTCTAATTCCTCCCCGAGCCAGGGCGCATGCCGTGATGTGAATCCCAATGAAACAGCTCAGGCCTTTCCCAGGCTGCCATGCTCAGGCCGGGTCCTTCAGAGGTCAGGCAAGCTGCAGTGGCCAGAGGGCTCCATCCACACAGGCCCTGAGGCACCGGGGAGCCTCCCTGGACGGACAGAGCTATGCAAAGCCAGAACAGTAGCCACTTCCAGAAACCCTTCCCTTAGTGTCTTGCGGGCTTCCACACCGACCTCCGCATGGCCCGTCAACCCCATCAGTGCGTCCCTGGAGGAGCACGAGGGCCCAGTGTCCTCGAGGTCCCTAGAGCTGGGGCTGCATGCAGTTCATGAGCGGACGAGCATCTGATTGTCTTGCATTGAGAGTGATAATGGTGGTGACCAGAGGGGGTTTCCCTGAGGGGCAGAGTCCTATTTGTCCTGAAGGGGTGAGGAAAGAGCCCCCTTGGCCCTGTCCCTGCCATCTCCTTGACCTGCTCGTTGTCACCCTGTTGACCCAGGCTGGAGGGATGGGCCACCTTGCGGGGGAGCAGTGGTGCTGAGTGGGGCTGCAGGCCAGATGGGGGAGGGGCTCCTTAGACACCCGTGTTTCCTGCCCTCTGAGCTCCCGGCCAGACAGCAGCGATGGGACCATCACCCCTGTCCCCCGTCACTCCCACCCCCACATCGCCCTCATTCCAACCACAAGTGATGGTTGGCTTCCTCATGGCACAGTCCGTGGGGTGCCCAGCAGCCTGCTGGCCCTCAGGACCGGGTATGGGAGGGAGAGGAGGAAAAGTGAGGACAAACCAGGCATCTGGCTCGGGACAGCTCAGTCCTGGACCGAGTCCCCTGAGCACTGAGCGCAGCACTGTCTCCAGGCCTCGGGAGGCTTCGTGGGGGACATGGAGCAGGGGACCACCTGTCCCAGGGCGCTTTTGAGGGGCAGTCCCCGCCTTGTCCCTCCTTTCTCAGGGACCTCTGGGTGGGCCACCCCACAGTTCCTCCCTCGGAAGCTGCCTGGTTAGCCGCCTCCCCCGAGAGAGGGCTCAGTTGGTCCCTTCCTCCAGGAAGCCCTCCTCCATGTAGCAGGGAGCAGCAGCCAGCCTGGGCTGGAGCAGGCCACGTTTTCAAGCCTGGAGATGCGGCTGTGGTCAAGGAAGGACCAGAAATGGAGGGCCTGGTGGAAAATGCTGGCAGCCGCATGCAGAATGACGGTCCAGACTGAACCAGGGCACGCCAGGGCTCGTCCCTTTCCTGACAGGTTTTCAGGTCCCTTTGAGGACTGCTGGGGAGGCTCCAGTTCAGCAACTGGACCTGGGCCAGCACAGGTCTGGGAGCTGAGGCCCCAGGGCGTGGAGGGAGGATGTGGCCTCAGCTCTCCCCCAAGCCCCCCCATCCCCACCGGGGCTGACAGGACAGGGTACCCTACTGCCATCTGGGCCGCCATCCTTCTGCCCCAGCTCAGGGGCCTCCCCATGACCGGCCCACCCTGGCCAGCCGTGGGGGCCTCCAAGGAGGAAGGACGAAGCTGATGGGCCCCTGGGGCACGGAAGGGTTCCCTGGAGCGCTTGTCCCTCGGGGCTCTCTGTGCTCCTCCCCTCCCCCTCGCTCCCCAGCCAAACTCCACACAGTGAGGAGGACACCTGCTGGGGGCACCCTCTGCCCCTGACCCCCGGAGTCCCTGGGTCTGAACGGCTGTTGGTCTCGAGGGAGAGTCTTCCGTCCTCCCAGCTCCAGCGGGAAGTCCGGAGGAAGGGCCGGCCGGGGTGGAGGGGTCCTGGCCCTCCCGCCTGCTGCCGGGGGTCCTCTCTGTCGCACGACCTCTGAAGCCCTAGAGCCCGCCTGACACACGGGGAGCTCAACACAGACACGGGGCAGGCATGCTGGGGAGCAGAGCGGGAGCCTCCGGGAAGGACGTAGGTTTGGGGGTGAGGGGGCCGGAGGGTCACGGACACCGGCTTCGGCGCTGGGCCCGGAGCGCCCTCTGGTGGTCAGAGGAGGTCAGGCCGGGGGCTGCCTTCCCTCCCTCAGCCGCTCTGGGGCGCTTCCCACTCCCGGGGCCTCACAACGACAGGGGCAGAAGGGGCGCCTGGCTGTGGGCTACTTCCAGGGACTCCGTGGCAAACAACTCTCTCTTCCCCTTCTCGGCCCCGCAGGCGCCTGCCCAAGTCAGGAGTGGGAGCAGCTGCCATTCTGGGGCAGGAGGACCTGGCCAGCAGCACCAGCTGTCCTGGGACACACGGACTTTTGGGGAGAGAATGAGCTCCCTGTCCCTAGAGGCAAGCAAGCCTAGGCTGGGCACCCACCTGGCGGAACTCGGCCTCCTAGAGGGAGAACCATGGGCCCAGGGAGGAGGGAGCTCGCCGGCCCCGAGGTCCAATGTTCCAACGTTGTGTGTCAGAGCCAGAGAGGAGCCCCCCACATGCCCAGTGCACAAAAAAGGAGTCGGAGTCCTTGGTGTGGGTGGTGTTTATCACCCCAACAGCCGGACCTGGCGCACACCGCGCTGAAATGGCCGCTTCACCTGCCTCACTAGACAGGCCAAGGGGGGGTGGTGAGGTCTCCCTTGACCTCTGCCAGGTGCGGCCCCCTCCATCTCCCCACCTTCCACCACCCTGTCCCCAGGGCCGCAGACAGCTCTCAGCCTTTCTTGCAGCAGGAGGGGCAGGAGCTAGAAAAGAACTTCCCTACGGTAGCCGGTCGTCGGTCAGCATCTTTTAAAAGCAGGGTGTCCTCTCTCAGGGCTGGAAGCAAGTCAGGCCCGGCTGTCTGGCTCCTCTGCCCTCAGAGGGCCCTGGGCTTCCTCTTCCTGCTCCCCAGGCACCTGGAGGGCAGGGGTGGGGAGCAGGTGAAGGGGTAGCCCCGGGGGCTGAAGACCACAGCTGGGGTGGGAGTCCCCCAGAGGAGAAGGAGTGGGCAGGAAGGAAGAGGCCAGCGGGATCATCGAGGTGAGGCCGGGAGGGAGGGCTTGGGTGTGAGGGGCTGCAAGCACCTCACCTCCCAGTAAACTTGGTCCTCGTAGCACTGGGAGTCTGCAGGGGAGCTCAGGAAGGGCAGCTTCAGCAGGAGGCCTGGTGGGGGGTAGGGGCGTGTGTGAGGGGCTGGGAGGCCCAAGGGCTCCGCAGGACACCTGCCACAGACGGGTCACAGACAGATTGGGGCAGCCCTACTGTGCGTCGGACCCCGTGCCAAGGGCTCAGCAAGGCCTTTCCCGGGTACCCGCTGCGGCCCTGTGAGCTGGACCTGACCCCCAGGGCATGGTGGAGAAGTCCCAGGCCTCGCTCCTTCCTACAGAACGTCGCAGACCCTATCATGACGCCGCTGTGACACGGCTCCTGAGCTCTCTGCGGCTCCGCAGGGGTGCAAGAGTGTCTACTGAGTAAGTACGAGATTATGCGAGGGAACAAGCCGAATCTTGTTGGGGCACGAGAATCTCGGCGGGGGGGAGCAGGGAGGGCTGGGGATACTGAGTCATCGGTTCTAGCTTGAAGGCCACAGGGAGAGAGTCGAGACGTCGGGAAGAACCGTCTGACCAGGCATCAGTGGGCAGTCTGCCTCCACGGATGCATCTGGTTCCCGACCCCCAGCACCCCGCCCCTTGCCCCTGCCCCGAACCAGAGCCCAGCGGCCCCTTCAGGACCTCAGCCTGAGGTCGGGCTGCCCTCTGGTGGGTGGAGCGGGCAGTGCAGGGAAGCCCCAGACACCAACTCCGAGCCCGGCCGGCTCCCCACCTCCTCTGGGCACCAGGAGGGAACAGGTGCCCACTTCCAGATGAGGTTACCCCTGAACTCTACTACCCCACCCCACCTCTGGCACAAAGCAGGTGCTCCCTAATTATCTGAGCCAATGAACGTCAAGGGCGTGGGATCCGCCGGCCGGTCCTCGGGGGGACAGCCCTCCTGTCTTCTGCGCCCCGCAGAGCTCCTGCCAGCCTCCCACCAAAGCCAAGGTCACTCACCTCCGAGGCCCCCACCCACGGAAGCAAATGTCAGTGTGACCAACAGCCCGAAGAGTTGGTAGATGGCCTGGGACGTGGCAGTGCGCCGGCCCGTGGCTACGAGCGGAAACACGCTGTCCAGGCTGCAGGGAGAGGGGGTTGGGGGACACGGGGCTGGAGCCCAGGGCCAGGGCGCCAGCGCACTCCACGGCCTCATGCAGCCAAAGGACCTCGAGGGAGCCCAGAACAGCCTGTCACCCTCATGGGCCCGCACACCCCTAGACGCTTTGAGAACTGTCTGAGAATCTCTTGGTCCCAAGGGTAATTACCTCTTCTGTCATTATTCAGGAACGAATGAATGAAAACAGTGCTTTCTGTGTTGGTCCACAAAAGGAGGAAGGGAGTGAGTGAGGTCACCCTGTGGGGATAATGACCTTGGGGAGGGTCAGGGATGGTGAGGACTCACCCTTCTCCATAAGCTTCGTGGGTGGCCAACCCAGCCACAAGGACCCCCAGGAGGGCTCCCAGGACTCCAGGCATCCCGTGGAGGTTGTGGACACCACATGTGTCTTGGACTTTGAATTTTGCCTCGAGGATGGGCTGGAGGACAGGACACCTGTCATGAGTCTTGAGTGCCCCCCGCCCTGGGCTGTTGGAGATGGGGGAGGAAAGGCACTGAGCGCCCGGTGCTCTGCCCAGGGCCCCGGGAGATGTCTATACCGTGAAGAACTTGTATCCCAACGTGGAGACCGTCCCAGCCAGGAAGCCAGCTGCCAGGGCCCCAAAGGGTGTCAGCATCATTTCACCTGCTGTCCCCACCACAACCCCTCCGGCCAGCGCAGCGTTCTGGATGTGGACCTGGGGCAGCACCAGGGAGGGGGGTATGGGAGGCCCTTCCAGATGGCACGCCCAGCCCAGCCCCACCCCGTCCAGCACAGCGGCATCTCCTGCCTCTAGAAGTCCCTCTGCCGACTGACCTCTAACCCTCCAGCTGTCCCGCAGTCTCCTCCTGCGAGGACCCTGCACATCTGGGCCCCGAGCCTGTGCTGCGTCCTGTTCCCTTGGAAAACAGGCCTTACCGGGTCTCGCAATGCTCTTCCCCTGACCCATCCCGAGGCCTCCCTGAGGCCTCCACCCCTACCATGTCCAGCCGGCCGCGCTCCCCAACCAGGGCCGACAAGGCAAAGGTGCTGAGGGTGCTCGCCGTCAGGGAGTAGTACGTGTTGAGTGCTGTCCGGTGCTGCCCGTCCCCCAGCACAGTGGGCGCAGAGTTGAAGCTGGGCCAGAAGACCCACAGGAAGATGGTGCCTAAATGGGGAGCACAGAGGAGAGCTGGGGGGTAAGCCTCCCGGGGAAGCATGCCTTCCTGAGGGATCCCCCGACTTCCAGCCAAAACATCCATCCCATTTCACCACAGACCTGGAGGTGAGTGAGAAATACAAAATCTGGGGCACCTGGGAGGCTCAGTGGGCTGAGCGTCCCCTTGGCTCCTTTGGGTCATGATCCCGGGGTCCTGGGATCGAGCCCCACAGTCCTCTCCTCCCTGCTTGCACTCTCTGTCACTATCTCTGTCTTTCTTTCAAATAAAATCTTAAAAAAAAAAATGCAAAGCCAGCCTTTTTGTGGGGGCATAGGCACTCTGGCCATTCTTCAGTACCACCTACAAGAAAATAAACTCTCCATTTCCTTCCCCGCCTTGTTTGTGAAGATAGAGACGGGAGCAGGGGCCAAGGCAGAGGCATGTTCTTGGAAGGGGGAGGTGGTGGTGACAGTCAGTCCCAGCCGCTCCCAGGAGGGACCCATGACCTCTCCCTGCGCCCCAGGCGTGCAGGGGCCTCTGGGAAACCGCTGGGGGTGGGCAGCGTGAGGGGCAGAGTCCTGGAGGTAGTAGGTGGGGAGAATGGTGGGGGGCAGCTGTGCTGGGCTGAGCCTGGCTTCTGACTTGGGGTGGGGGCTGAAGGGTCTTAAGCAGGGACTGGTGCCATCGGACTTGGTTTGGGGCTGGGGAATGGGTCTGGGGCGTGTAAACATCCCAGGACTGAGTTCCAAGATCATGTCGAAAACAGAACAAAAACAAACCCGCTGACAATGCTGAGCCGACCCCGGGCTCTTGGAAGGGAGAGCCCAGCAGGACCCCAAGGACTGTAGGCAGCACCCCGAGACCTCGCCTGGAGGTGGTCCTCTCCAGCCCCCCCAACCCCCACCCAGGCCGGCCTCACCAATCATGGCAAACAGGTCAGAATGGTAGACGGAGCCCTGGCGATGTTTGCTCTTCTCCCGCTGAGGCCGGTAGAGGACCCGAGAGAGGACCAGCCCGAAGTAGGCCCCGAAGGTGTGGATAGTCATGGAGCCTCCCGCGTCCTTCACCTGGGGAGGCAGAGCAGATGTGTAGGGGCAGCCGAGTGCCCCCACCCACCCCGCCCGGCCCCATGCCCTCCCTGCTTGGCTTGCCCTGGCCGGCCCCACTGACTCACCCCCAGGAGGCTGAGGAGCACAAACTCATTGACCCCGAACAGCACGGTCTCCAGCAGGGCCATGAGCAGCAGCTGAGCAGGCCCAGTCCTGCCCAGGACGGCGCCGAAGGAGATGAGCACAGCCCCCGCACAGAAGTCGGCGTTGACCATGCTGGGGGTACGGGACAGAAGGGCGGGAGGGGCGGGCAAGGGTGGCCCCGGGGGCCCGGGTCAGGGCAGCAGCAGGGAGTACTGGCATCTGGGCCCTTCCCTGGTGGGTGGGAAGGGCTCCCGTGGCCCCCGCTTGTGGACGAGGAACGCAGTCTCGGGGAGGTTCTGGGACGTGGAGTGCGAAGCCCACAAGGGGCAGAAGAACCAGATCCTGAACCAGGAGCGCCCCTGAACCCCTCCTTTTCCAGGAAGCCGTCCATGCGCCCAACAGCCCTTGGGTAAGAAGTGGCTTAAAGAAAGGGCCAGGTGTGGCCGGGTGTAGGGGCGGCCGAGGGAGCCTGCAGGCCCCTGGGGCGGCACCCGCAGGTCTGGGAGCCCGCTGAAGGACAGGGGCGTGGGGCTGGCTCTGCCCGCCAGGCAGGGGCCTCCCAGCTAGCCCAGGACTGGGGAGGAGCCGGGAGCCCGCCACTGCCCACCTCTGCACGCCCACACGGATGCGGCCCCCGTGCGTGGAGTGCAAGAAACCCTGGACGAGCGTGGACCACTGCAGGGTGAAGGCGGCCAGGAGGAAGGTGAAGCCCACGCCGCCGAAGCCGTAGCGCTGCAGGAAGGCCATGAGGAAGCCGAAGCCCGCGAACACCATGGCGTGCACGTCCTGGAAACCTGCGGGGGCGCTCGCAGCTGCTCAGCCCCGCCCACCCCAGCAGCTGCCCTGCCGCGGGGCAGGGGTCAGCCCTCGCCAGCCCGGGCGCCCAGAGGCCGGAGCCCACCGGCCCTCTGAGACCCCCCAGCTGCGGCAGGGACCCCCCGCCTGGGTCCCCCCCCCCCTGGGTCCCCCCCCCCCCCCGCGCCTGGGTCACACACACACACACACACACACACACACACACACACACACCCGGCCCACCCTGCTGTCCCCATGTGGGAGCTGGGAGCCCAGCCTCCTGCTCTCTCCTCGCCAGGCCGGTCTTCCCACACCTGACTGGGCCCTCCTGCCTGAGCTCTCCCCTGCTCCAAACTGGCTCCCCCTTCTCACTTTGTCCGATTTTCCCCTTTCTGCTGGAAAGTCCTCCTCCTTGTCTAACCTCCATCCCTCAGACTTCGGAATCTGTGCCTCTCTCCATTTTGAGGATTTTAAACTTTTTAAAAACAATTTATGAAACAACTTTATTTATTTTGGGAGGGGGACATAGCTCCGATTGTGAACAGAGAATTCCTCAAGGATGGGGATGGGGACTGAGACAGGAACGGAGGGGCGGGGCTGCTGGGACACAGTGCCAACAGGGACCCCTGGATCTGTGCCTTACAGAGGCTCGGGGCAGGAGGGTTCTGCTCTTTTGCGTGTTTCTTTCTATAATCTGCGTATGTTAATTTTATAGATGAATTGGTTGGATTCATCACACACAGTGTCACACAGTGTCAGTGAGGTTTCTGGGCAGGGAGACTGGAGGCTTTCTGCTTGCATAATAGGCGAGGCTGATACAAACGTCTACAGGGACGCTGGGGATGCGCTACACAGCTCGGTCTTCTGGGGGAATTCCGTGCAGTGTCTTTGGCTTTAATGGAGAAATGCTAGAGAAGGAGAGTCATGAGTGTGGTCAGAAATCACACAGTGTAAATAAGCTATTGAGAAACAGGGTCAACTCTGACCCTAAACACCCCTTTTAGAGCTCCACGTGAGAAATCTCCCTTGGAACTTAGTCCCAGCAAATGTCACCTCCCCCAGGGCCCCCGGCTGCTTCCCCCGCATTCCCCTGACAGAGATTTACTAAGAATTGGGGCACCAGGCTCTGGCGACACGGCTGTCACCGCAGCTGCCACTGCACCTTCCCTCACGGAGCGCTCAACACAGACGTCGGAGAACCAGGGACCCACTCGAGGAAGCCCTCCTAGCCTCTGGAGAGAACACATAACTGATTGCATTTCCCTTTTCTCTTGGCTGCCTGGAAGCTCTGAGCCACACCGAGATTGCAGCTGGGACAACTGAGGCACTCATTCCTGATGACTACTATTCATTATTTATGTTCTGCTTCTCGGCTTTTCTTTTCTCGTCCCCATTATGTGTTTGTTGTAAACGACCTCAGATCTCTTGTAGAGAGAGGGAGATCGTAAAGGAAAAAAATCACGGTCCCCTTTTTGTTTCGTCTGAAGAAGCACTGACAGAGGCTAAATGTGTATGACCGGACCGTACACGTGATCCGCAGCTTCAGGAGAAGCAGATTTTTCTTGTGCTGGGTGTGGGCTGACGGGAAAGGAGGTTGCAAGCCCCTGGCAGACTGCTGGGTGGGTCTGGGGCTCAGCTGCCCCCCACCCCCAGCTGCCAAAGGGGTAAGGGTCTGGGGGTCCACTGCCTTTGCTAAATGTCCCCAACACCATGCCACTTCTCCAGCCCTGTGCGCCCCCAAATCACCAGCTCTCTCCTCCCTCTCAGATCTTAAAACCCAGCAGAAAAGGAGAAGAACCCCCCGGAAGCCAGCCTGTACCCTAAGTTCTTTGAAGCCTTGCTGTCTGGCTTCTTTTCTCCTTGTGGGAAACAGTAAAGGGGTTGCCATGTCTGTTCTTTTGTCCAAGGACAGCAGGATGGCAAAGGGGGCTGGGTTGCTGGGCTCCGTGACCCTGACGAGGAGAAACTGCCCCAGCACTTGTCTTAACTGGCAATAATATTTATATCTTCTGCTCTGGGCTTGTTTTCAATCAAAACTCAGTCCCTTGACCTTTCAACTGGAGTCTAAACATTAAGAAAATCTCCTTCACAGTGGGACATTCCGCAGACTCTCCATTGGCTGTGGCCACCAAACCCATGCACCTTTGGTTGGAGAAAAGATAAAAGTCCCCTAGAGATACCCATTACCCTCCCTCCTTCCCTGACTGCTCCTGCCCAATCCACTCGTTGGCTCCTGAGCAAAATAACAAGGAAGAAGGGGACCGTTAGAGCTGGACTGGGTGACCACGGACAAGTCACTTAACCTCTGTGAGCCTTGGTTTCCTCATCTGTAAAGTGGGGCTACAAACACGCCCAGCAGAGGAAAGGGAGTGGTGACCTGGGGGTCCACCTCCTCTCACACTCGACTCCCTCCTCCTCCCAGAGGTCACAAACCACTCTGGTCCCAGTCACATCCCTCTTCCCCCATGTCTTCCAAGAAGATCCGGATTCTACCTGTCCTAAACCCCTCTCCCCAGAGCTAAGCTCTCAGAGGCATGTGACACAGGACCTGCCCATACCATTTTCTGAGACTCATTCACATGGCTGTGGCTGTGTCCCCCGTCAACTTGTCTTTTCTCCTCTTTCTTATTTCCATGACTTGCCTCATGGGACAGGAGGAGTTGCCGCAGCTGGGCGGCCAAGGGACCTGGCTCAAGCCTGGCTGGCTTGCTGTGTGATCTTGGGTAGCCCCCTGAGCTCTCTGGCTGTCTCTGCACACCTGAGGTGAGTGGACCAGATGGGCTCTGAGGGCCCCTCCTGCAGCAAGAGGTCAGACAGACCCTCGGAGCGGCCGTGCCCTTGGCACCAGTTAGCCCCACAGCTCAACGCCAGCTGCAGAACTCCCTTTCATCTCCCGAACCAAAGGGCGGTGGCTACGCCTCCCTCTGGCCCTGACCCCTTCCTCTGGACTCAGGGACGGGGAAGACCCGGCTCATCAAAGCCCCAGGCTCCAGAGACCTCACATTTCCCTCCGCCCCAACCTCCCCCCACACCAGGGTCCCAAGTCCACAGGGATAGAAACCTAGGACATCAAAGAGGTAGGATCCCCACTTCCATCCTTACTGCAGCCCAGGGAGAGCTGCGTGTTGCAGGAGAGCCCTGCCCCCCCTCGAAACAGAGGGGCAACTGGCTGGGGTGTTTCTGGAAGAACTCTGAGGCAAGCAGGGTGCTGAGGCCTTGAAGCCCTCCAGGAGGAGCAAATACAGGGTCCCGGCAGGCAGCTAGGTCAGACCCTTGGACAAGAGCTTACTTCCCTCAGCTTGAGGGCTGTTTCCTCTCAACTCTCTACCTCTCTGGGCAAATGCACGACCCAGGAGCCTGGACTGTGGCTCACCTTGTGCAGACAGGGCTGAGGGGAAACATGGGAGGATCTGCAGCCCCCGTGCAGAGGACGGCTGGGGGTCTGGGGGTCTGGCACTTCTAGCTGAGGCCCAGTGCATCTCACCTTCTACGCCCTCAGCATCAGCAGCCTCACTGCATCGGGGTTGGGACTGGGAGAGGGTCAGGTGGGGACAGCCTGCCACCAGCTCAGCATAGGAAAAGCAGGGTAATGACAGACCAGGGTTTATAGAAGAGATTCCCACACTCTGGGCCTTGTTTGCATGTGCATTCCACAAACTCAAGCTTCCTTCTTCCCATTGCCCAGACGGAGAAAACTGAGGCTGAGAGGAGCCCTGCCCAGCAATGGTGATGAAGTCTGGAGAGCTGGTATCTTTGGTCCCAGCTGCCCAGGGCCTGAGCTGCAAGAGGCGGCCCCCAACCTTGAGAGAGAGGCTCTGTCCCCAGTAGGGGATGTTGCTTGGGAAGCCAGAGTCCTAGTTCCTGCTCTGCCATTCACCTGATGGGTGATTACGGGCAAGTCACAGGCCCTCTGAGCCTCAGCTTCCTCCCCCAGGAAGTGCGCTAATGACCCTGCCAGGCTTCCTTCTCAGAGCTGTGGTCAGTGGTGGTGTCCTTCTCTCTCTCTGACTCCAGAAGGGCCAGCTTTGAGTGGCTGGGAAGAAAATGCCTCAGTGCCACCTGTCTCCGGGGCCTTCATAGCGAGTACCTGCCATTACCACCTTCGGCACACCACTCCCTACCGGGAGGACTCTCTGCCTAGGATCAGGGTGGAGGCCCTGCAGAGCCCAATGATGCCAGCTGGGAGGGGAGACAGGGAGCACCTCCAGCTCGGATCTGGGTTTGAATCCCCACTCCCTCAACTCTGGCAGCCCAAACCTTAAGTAGACAACTAATCTCCTCGAGCCTGGGTTTCCCCATCCTTGTCCACGTCGTGGACTAAGGGAGATAATGCATGTGCGGCCCTCGGCAGAAGGCCCGGACACCGCAGACACCAGCGAAAGGCTGTCATTATGAATCTGGGGCACCTTCTCCGAGAGAGAGCGTTGCCCTCCTGGGGTAGAGACGCCCGCCCGAGACACCGGGGACCTTGGGGTCTTTGCTCCCCGCGCCCTCACCCGCACTCACTTGGGTAGCGAAAGTAAAATTCGTTGTCCGCGTGACTGTGGTTGCCCCAGTGCCAGAGGGCGGCATCGGTTTCGGGGTTGTAGCGGACAAAGACTGCAAAGAGGATGGCGGTGGCGCCCTGGAGGAGGAGGCACAGCAGGGGCAGCTGCAGTCGCCGGCCCGCGGCGCAGCGGGGCGACTCGGCCATGGATAGGGGCTTCCAGACCCCGGCTCCGGCTCCGGCTCCGACACCCGCTCAGGGCGCGCAGGGCGGACTATCCCGGCTCCGTGGGGCAGGTTCCACCGGGGCCAGGCCCCGCCCCTAGATAACAGGCCCCGCCCTTGGATCAGGCCCCGCCCACTGGAGCCGGACCCCCTGTCCACGCCGAGGCTCGGCCCCACCTACCGGAGCCAGGCCCCGCCCCCGGATCAGGCCTCGCCCACCGGAGCCAGACCCCGGCCCACGCCGAGGCTCTGCCACAGCTTGAAGCCCCAGCCCCGGCAGGTGCGGAACCAGGGTGGCGAAGGCCTATGTCCGAGGCCTGAGGTGGGACAACGCCCGGGCGGGGAGGGGGTTCTCAGGACCCCCAGTTCCTGTCTCCCTTGGCCCAGCTGCCTCTCGCGCTTTTCGCGTTGGGACAGGTCCTTGGAGATGGCCTGTGACCTGCCCTGATGGGGCACAGCTGCAGGAGCGGGTGGGAGTGGGGGGAAGAGAGGACCCTGCCCTTCGAACGTGGTGTTAGTTTAGAGAGTGTTTCCCAAGGAAGAGGCCCTTTAAGGCCCCCGCCTGGCCCCTCCGGGATTAACACCAGGGACAGTGGAGGGCTTACTCAAGTCTTTTCCCAACTGAAAAAGCCAGACGGAGAACGGAGGCAAAGAGACTGGCCAGGCATTGATGATTAACCTGATTGGGGGTGTCTGGGCCTCAGCAGCACAGTCCCTCCCTTGGGCCCGAAGCCTTCTGGGCCTCCCACCACAGTCTGCATCCCAGCTTGCCCAGCAGCTGGCCGCGGTGACAGCTGCGCTCCCTGGACGCCTGCACAGGGATGAGGACACCTGGCCTCTGCCTCAGCAGCTGGAAAGAAGGGAAGCTAGATGGAGAAGGGTCTTAGCCTGGAGTCAGGAGCCGCTTCTAACATGGGCGAGGTCTACATTGGCTGGGGTCCTGGGAGACAGACAGTAAGGACACAGACTGACTGACGCCTACTGAGAGCCAGGCTTTGGAGACGAACCACATGAGCCCTCCCTCCAGGAGCACCTAGGAGGAAACTGAATTCCCACTGGGATTAATGTGGGACCTTAGGAAGTACAGAGCCCAAGGGGGCCCGGGAGGAGAGGCAGCAGAACCCACGGGAGCAGGGATGAGGTTGGGCACAGACATGAGCTGCTTTCTGGGAGGTCGTGTCTGCAGGCGCTCTAGAAGGACAACCTAGAAATTGGGCATTCCAAGAAGGAGGAGGGGACATTTCAAGAAAGGGACCTGCAAAGATGGAAACCTGCCATGGGAGTGTCCAGGGTGTTCAGGGACTGAAGCTGGGGGTGGGGGGCTCTAGAAAGATCTTGAAGGCCCCGCTGAGGCACACGGCCCCAGCCCGTGGGCGCGGGGCCACTGGAGGGCTCTCACGGGTGGAAGACCCTGGCACTGTTGGTTCTGACACCTGAAGGCCACAAGGGGCTTCAAAGAAGAAAGGCCAACGGGCGTCTCAGTGGGCCTGGTGGGATGGGAAGCCCTCTGTCCTCCCCGCTGCCCAGCCGAGTCTGAGGGGGTTGTTGTGTGGGCGGGGCTCGTCCCTGTTTGCAAAGGAAGAGCTGCCGTTCCTGGAGGCTGTGGCCGAGGGTCCCAGGGACCAGCCACTCCCCCTAGCATGTGTCAGGTGGGGCTCCTGCCAGCAAGGGGGCTTGCCCCTTCTCACCCGTCCCTGACCCTCCTCCTTGCATCCCGTCTGCCTTTTGTGCAGCTCTCCTCCTCTGCACTTCCCACCGCCGGCTTTAGCCTCCAGCCTCGCGTGGCTCTGGGCGACTGCTGGATTCTAGTTGTCCGCCTTCCTGACCTAAGTAAGTGCCCAAGCAGGCCTGGGAGGGCAGGGCTCAGCCTCCATGGGACTGCTCCCGGCGGCCCAAGCAGGCTCTCTGGCCTTCCGCGGCCCCTGGCCCGTGGCCCGGAGCTCTCTGGCACTACTTGGTCAGCAGGAAGGCTGTTTTCTAGCTCTACTACAGGGGTGGGGGGGTGGGGGATGTCTGGTCAGCAGCCTTTGGATAATGATTCTCGGAGGAGTCATCTGGGATACCCTCCCGGAGCCAGCCTTCTGCCCCAGGGGTGCGGCTTGCTTCCTGGGCACTGTCTGGGAGTGGGGGCTTCTTTGGGTTGCCCAGGCAGGGTCTGGACAGGCCCTCATAAGCTGCAGAACCGGTGAGAGCAGGAAGGAGTGGGTTGGGCCCTCCCAGCATCTTCTGGGAGCCTGTCCCATCTCTGTCTCACCTGTTTGTTTTAGTCTCTGAACGCCTCCGGATCTCAGATTCCCCCTCCACCATGGTTCATTCATGCGTCCAACAACAATTCGCTTAGTCGCAACCCGGGCCAGGGCCTGGGGCCATGACCCAAGACTCTAGTCAACATGGGTAACACAGCTGGGTCCTGGAGGCCTAGAGAGACCTCTATGGGATCTACTGGATATTGGGAGGTCTAGAGGGCCAGAATAGCCAGGTCAGCCTGTTATGTAGACATCTGGGTTACATCTGTTTGCCCACCTGTATGGAAAGATCATTATATTTTAACAAATAGTGGTACCAGCCTGTGTCACCCCTGGCCCAGCAGAGGGCAAGATCCTGATAGTCCTCCCCTTCTGAGGGTCCCCCCGACAAGCCTCCACCTGCGAGGTCTCCCCTGGTCCACCACCCAGAAGGAAGAGGCTCCATCCAAATGCTCTCAGGGCCCCTGCCCTCCCCCTGCATCCTCTGGGCCTGGAAGCTCTGGTGGAAGGGGGCTTTGTTTCTCAGTCCTCCTTCCACCCCACACCTCCCCCAAGGGGTCCCTGAGTCTGTTACCTGCTCCCATCCTGCAGGCTTGGGGTCTGCCCCATCTTGGACCTCCCTTCTCCAGGTTCCACTAAGCAGCTGGACACGTGGAGGGTGGCCAAGGGGAACTGCTGGGAGCTGCTGGCCCTGGCCCAGGGAGGCCCCAGCGGTCCTTGGCTTGGGCCCAGGGCTTGGGTTACTAAGTAACTGTGGGGTTGCCCTCAGGGGGGATGTAAACGAAGGGGCAGGATCAGGCTGCGGAGGGAGGGCCGAGGGTGTCCTGGCCCCGGTGCTAACCCGTGCTGCTACCCATGGTGGGTCGGTCAGGGAAGGTTTCCCGGGGGAAGTGACGCTTGCGTTGAGCTCCAGCCTGATTTCGCAGCTGGGGTGGAGGAGGGGGTTCTTCTCTTGCAGCGCTCTGGTATGAAGAGAAAAGAGGCCAGGCTAGAGAGCTCCTGGACGCCCATTTTCTGGGGCCAGATGAACTGCAGCCCTCAGACCCCCCTGAAGACCACAGCCACGGCAGCACCGTGTAAAACATTGCTGTTTTTACCTCCACGGCATAGTGAAAATTAGATCTGGCTTTCTCTGCCCAGGGCCTCACCCACTTAGTGTGCAGTAAAAGACAGATCGCTTTCTTAATCTCAAGCCCCCCGTTTTTTTCATATGCTTAACACTCTATCTGCATTTTGGCGATGGGCCAGGTGCTGTGCTGGATTCTGGCGGAAGTCTCCCCCATGCTCCGTTGCCACCACATGGAACAGAACCGTGCCCTGTTCTTGGGGCGCCAAGACAGAGGAGACGATGTCTCAGTCACTAAGGCTTGACGGTAGCCGTGTTTCCAAAGTACAGTCCTTGCCTATCCTGCTGGGGGTCTGAGTTCAATCCCCGATCAGTAAAAGTTTTGGGAGACAGCAAAGTGCAGAAGGGAAGGGCATAGCCTTGGAACCCAAGGACTTAAGTCAGAGTCTCAGCTTGGTCGCAGAGAGATTTTGCATCAGTTGTTTACCAAACCTCGAAACTCAGTTTCCTCGCCTGTTACAGGGAGGGACTCACCTCCCAGGGGCTGTCGTGAGCATCAGTGTCCAGGAAGCACGTGACCGGCCACGTGTCCTCAGAAGCAAAGCTCACGGTGATTACCGCTGTTCATAAGGAAACCTGCAAGTAAGCCTTATGGCCATTTCTTTGCCTTAGGGGAAATCTGTGCACTGCTAGGGATGTGGGGAAACTGGCCCTCAGTACTTAGTTTGAACACAAAAGGAAGGGGGCACCTGGGTGGCTCAGTGGGTTAAAGCCTCTGCCTTCAGCTCAGGTCATGATCTCAGGGTCCTGGAATCGAGCCCCGCATCAGGCTCTCTGCTCAGCGGGGAGCCTGCTTCCTCCTCTCTCTGCCTGCCTTTCTGCCTACTTGTGATCTCTGTCAAATAAATAAATAAAATCTTAAAAAAAAAAAGAAAAAAAATGAACACAAAAGGAAGGGTGTTCATTTAATTCTCAAGTGCCTCAGTGGGCCCCTTTAAGAGGAAAGCCAGGAGGGAATGGGTCATATGGGTGAGACTACTGTTAAAGGGGGCCAGGACAGAACACCCTGTGTCCTTCCCCCACCCCCCACCGCAGCTTCTTTTCCTCAGTGCTCCCAAGGACTCCACCACCACCATGGAACCAACCAGAACCATGGTCCAACCTGGACCAGCTGGGAAAGCTGGCTCACGTCCTATTATTTCCCTCTGCGGGAAGTCCAAGGACTCCCTCTCCTAGCCAGCCCCATGCTCCCTGCCGGTCTTCCCCAAATGTGAGTTTTGATGAACACCTCTCTTCTCTGGAAAGGGAGCAACTGAGCAGAAATGTTCCCATATGACCCAGGATGGAATGACTGGATGAGATTTCTGTCCAGGGCCTGGTGGGGGTCGTCCACAGCTGGGCAGGAGCAGCTGGGACGGAGTTGGCGAGCTGAGTCCCTACCACCTGACATGGCTCCTGGCTCTAGGAAGCTCCTGGCTGCAGAAGAGGGACTGGACTAGGCCGTCACACTGGAGAACTTCACCTTGTCCGGTGCACACGTAGGATGCAGGCTGCCTGCTCTGGGTCTCTGTCCTGCAGGCCTGCTTGAGTCCGAGATCCCTGAGACCCAGGCAGGATGTGAAATCTGGGGCTCGTGATGTTGGTAAGCAAAATCATAGCCACTCAGCCCTTCCCTCCCTAGCTGTTTATGGAACCACACTTCACAAGGTCAAGCAGGCCTGGCTTTGTCCCTGGGGATATAGCAGTGAACAACAGACACAGACCTTGCCCTCAAGGAGATGCTTTTCTAGTGGGGGAGCTGCGGGAAACACACACAAGTACCTCTATAACATGCCCTAAGAGGTCTGATGTAGACGAGGCCAGCAGGAGGACGGAGGGACAGAAAAGAAGGGGGAGTGAGACTGGGCTGCTGGGGATGGCCTCGGGAGACTCAGGAGACGCAGGCAGGGAGCCAGAAAGGAGCTCCTATGGACCCGTGGGCAGAGGGAACAGCATGGAGGGCAGGGCAGCTAGTGTGGCGAGGAAGGGGATGGCGCAGGGAGACGTGGGCCGCACATGGAGCACTCAGGGCCCTGGTAAGGAGCACAACTTCTCTGTAGGAATAATGGGGGGCAACCAAGGAGTTAAGAGCAGGGGAGTCACATGATCCGATTTACTACTGTAAAGGAGCTTCTGGCTGCCTGGGGAGCACGAGCATGCGTGTAAGTGGAAGCAGGCAGCCAGCTGAGCGGCCGGCACCATCCAGGCAAGAGCCGGTGGTCATGGTGGCATGGAGGAGGAGGAAGCAGTCAGGCTCCGGGTAGACTTGGAAGCTAGAACTGACAGGGTTTCCTGAAGGACTGGACATGGGGTGAGAGAGAATGGAGTCTAGATTCACGTTTGCATGTGAATGTCCAGCTAGTCCAACACTACTGAAAAGACTATCCAGGGGCACCTGGGTGGCTCAGTCATTGAGCATCTGCCTTCGGCTCAGGTCATGATCCCAGAGCCCTGGGATCAAGTCCCACTTTGGGCTTCCTGCTCCTCGGGAAGTCTCCTTCTCCCTCTCACACTCCCTCTGCTTGTGTTCCTTCTCTCGTTGTGTCTCTGTCAAATAAATAAATAAAATCTTTTTAAAAAGAAGAAGAAAAGACTATCCTTTCTCCATTGGATTACCTTTATTTACTCCTTTGTCAAAGGGGAGCTGGCTATGTTTGTGTGGGTCTATGTCTGGGCTCTCCATTGTGTTCCATTGCTCTATTCATCTAGCCTTTCACCAATACCATACTGTCTTGACTAGTGCAGGTTTACATTAAGTCTTGGAGTCAGGAGGCATCTCCAAGATGCTCCAATGTCGTTCTTCAATATTGCTATTCTGGGTCTTTTCCTCTCCATACATACCTCACAATAAGTTTGTCAGTATCAACTAAATAATTTGCTGGGATTTTGATTGAGATTACATTTAACCTATAGACCTAATTGGGAATCGGGTGCCTGGGTGGCTCAGTAGGTTAAGTGAGTGACTCTTGATCTTGGCTCAGGTCTTGATCTCAGGGTTGTGAGTTCAAGCCCTGCATTGGACTCCACACCCAGTGTGGAGACTACTTTAAAGAAAAAAAAAATCAACTTGGGAAGAACTGACATCTTATCAACACTAAGTCTTCCTATCCATGAACATGGACTATCTTTCCATTGAGCATGACTTAAACTTTTTTTTTCTTTTTCTTTTTCTTTTTTTTAACTGAGGGGCACCTGGGTGGCTTAGTTGGTTAGATGACCAACTGTTGATTTCAGCTCAGGTCATGATCTCAGAGTCGTGAGATCAAACCTCACGTCAGGCTCCATGCTCAGCGCAGAGTCTGCTTGAGATTCTTTCCCTCTGTCTCTCCCTCCCCAAACTGGCTTGCTCTCTCTCTTTCTCTCAAAAATAAAAACAAAGGGGCCTTTGGATGGCTCAGTCAGTTAAGTATCTGAATTCAACTCAGGTTGTGATCTCAGGGTCCTAGGATCGATGCCCATGTCAGGCTCCTCCTTCAGCAAGGAGTTGGCATCTCCCTCTCCCTCTGCCCCACCCCCTGCTCATGCTCCCTGTCTCTCAAATAAATGAGCAAAATCTTTTTATTTTTTATTTTTTAAAAGGTTTTATTTATTGGGCGTTTGGGTGGCTCAGTCAATTAAGCATCTGCCTTCAGCTCAGGTCATGATCCAAGGGTCCTGGGATCGAGCACTGCATTGGGCTCCCTGCTTGGCAGGAAGCCTGCTTCTCCCTCTCCCATTCCCCCTGCTTGTGTTCCTGCTCTCTCTGTCTCTCTGTCAAATAAATAAATAAAATATTTTTAAAAGATTTTATTTATTTATTTGAGAGAGAGACAGAGGAAGAAGCAGACTCCCCACTGAGCAGGGAGCCCAATGTGGGGCTTGATCCCAGGACCCTGAGACCATAGCCTGAGCCGAAGACAGATGCTTAATGGCTGAGCCACCCGGGTACCCTAGCAAAAAAAATTGTTTAAGATTTTATTTATTTATTCGAGAGAGAGAAAGCTAGCATAAGCAGGGGTAGGGGCAGAGGGATAGGGAGAAGCAGACTCCTCACTGAGCAAGGAACCCCATGCGGGGTTTGATCCCAGGACTCTAGGATCATGACCTGAGCTGAAACCAGATGCTTAACCAACTGAGATACCCAAGCACTTCAAGAAAAAAAATAAATAAAAATAAGTAAAAAATAAATAAAAAACACTTTATTGAATATATTAGGCAAATAACACTGCCTAAATTTAAGGTGTACAATGTTACTTTGATACATTTATATACTGCAATATGATTGCCATTGCAATATCGTTGCTATATTCATTATACTGTGCATTAAATTGCTACGGCTTAAGACTCTTTACAATTCTGTACCCTTAAATATAACTTTTTTGTCCCCAATTCCCTATCCCCTGGTAACCACCAGTTTACTGCTCTTTTTAGTTTGGCTTGTTAGGCTCCATGAGTGGCATTGCGGAGTGCCGGCCTTTCTCTGGCGTCCCTCACTCGGCGTTGCGAGCTCCAAGAGCATTCATGTTGTTGCAAACAGCAGGAAATCCTCCTTTGTCATGGCTGAGCTGGACGGGGCATATGGACCACAGCCCTTTTGTCCATCTGTCATTTGATGGGCACTTAGGTTGTTTCCAGATCTTAGCTACTGTACAAATGCTTCAGTAAACTTGGTAGTGCAGGGGCGCCTGGGTGGCTCAGTCGTTAAGCATCGGCCTTCGGCTCAGGTCATGATCCTGGGGTCCGGGGTCTGAGGATGGAGCCCCGCACTGGGCTCCTTACTCTGCGGGGAGCCTGCTTCACACTCTCCCACTCCCCCTGCTTGTGTTCCCTCTCTCACTGTATCTCTCTCTGTCAAATAAATAAATAAAATCTTTTTTAAAAAAGATTTTATTTATTTGACAGAAAGAGATCACAAGTAGGCAGAGAGGCAGGCAGAGACAGAGTGGAGGAAGCAGGCTCCCTGCAGACCAGAGAGCCTGATGCGGGGCTTGATCCCAGGACCCTGGGATCATGACCTGAGCCGAAGGCAGAGGCTTTAACCCACTGAGCCACCCAGGCGCCCCTGAAACCCTCTTCTTAATCACTATTTTCCCTCCTCCCCACCTCTGCAAACCAACCCAGCTCTTCCCCTGCATTTCACAGGAAGAGAAGGCGTCTGGGGAAAAGGAACCAGTCTTGAGAGTAATTTGCCAACGCATCTGTGAAAGTGACGACCCAGTGTGGCTCACGTGGCTAAGCTAAGCTCATGTGTCCTCTTCTCAAATACTGGAAATTTATGGCTGGACCTGACCCCTCATGAAAGCTAAACTGACTTCCCCGCAGAGAAATTTCCATGTGCCGTGTCTTGGTGTTTCAAGTTCAAAGCTGGAAGTCAGTCCTCTGCAGTACAGCTCAGATCCCCCCACTCCGTCCTGAGGAGATGACCTGTCTGTTTCTAACCCCCTTATCTGGCCAACAGTAGTCTCACATCAGATTACATTATCAACTGATTTAGGTCTCACGAGTGCCATTGCCCTTCCACCCCAGAATGCCTGCCCGTGGTGTTTCCATGACCTTACACGTGCCCTGCTGCTCTCTGAAGGCTTCCAACGGCTCTTCAGCGCCTCCAATAGAATCAGAGCTTCTAGAGGCTGCGGTCAGCCCCACTGCCCGGGGAAGCTGCCTTGTCAGATCTCCGCTCTCTCCGTTCTCCCTCACATCCTCTGTTGGGGAGGAAAGCTTCTCCTCCTAATTTCTAGTTACTTATTCTCCTACCTCAAGGTCCTTGTCCAAGCCCCTCCACTGACATGAACCCCCCCTTACTTTATCTCCCTATGCCCCCACGCCCACCCCTTCACAGAGTCCAAAATGGGTACAGCTGCCCTCCCTAAAAACGCCCTCCCCTGCAGCCCCCCTGCAGCCTCCCTCCAGGCCCCCTCCAAGGACTGCTACATTTTGCAAGGAATTATCTTAGCTGCCTTGTTAGATGCTAAATATCCCAAGACGGTCTCTACCGTGACACGTATCCCCAGTGGCTCGCCCAGTGCTTTGCACCCTGCGAGCACTGACTGTGAACCAGCCATGTGCAGGATTCCTATACACTGGGTTCCACCGAGGGCTTGCCAGGGAGAAAGCAGAAGACGCACACAGTGACTTAGTTCCACGACTCATTTAGTGGACTGGGGCAGGTGATTTAACAACAGGCTGCGGGGTAAGGCTGGGAGAGTAGAGTTCTTGCTTCCCCTCCCAGGAGCCAGCTGTGTCATGGACGCTTGTAAATTTTCCAAAATAGCCATCTGCTGTTGGGCGAGCTGGGTCTGGAGCTGGAGATTGGCGTACATACACTCCAGGAGTCCCAGGCATTCCGTGGGCTTGTGGTCAACTCCTGAGGGAGAGCAGAGGAGGTGCACCGGGGGCAGGGGGGAGACTCAGAGACGGTACCGCAGCAGGGAGGGCTCCGGTCGTCCCTGCACAACTCAGCCCGCACACACCTGTGCTCTGCTGTCACCTACCCAGCCACACTATTTTAACTGGAAAACTGTCACTGGGATTTGTTACTTTCTCCCTTGCCAAATTTTCCCCATAGTACTTGTGATCACATAGCCTGTTCTGCAATCACTTGTTTAATGGTTGTCTAAGCCTCCCTCTAGAACGTAAGCTCCGGGAAGGCAGGAAGCTCTGATTCGTTCGCTGTTCTATCCCCAGCACCTAGAAGTGTGCTGGTGCCTAAGTATTCGGAACATACTGATGAGTGAGTGAGACGATCTGTGATCCTTCCACAGCCTGGTGCAGCGTGGGGTCAGCGGGGACCCGCAGTCCCTCCTGTTGTCTCACGTCACTTTTCTACTGTTCTCAACGACTGCAGCCGGCTCCTGGGTAACTCTGGCAGTGATGTGCCTATTTCTTGTGTATTTATTGGCCTTGGCTCCTTTGCTAAACTCTGAGGTCAGCAAAAACTGTTGTCATGACCTGTCATATAATCTAGTGCCTGGTAGTCTCCCTGTAGGTGTCCGAAACACCCACGGGTTTCCCCACGGGAATGGGAGCGACTGCCTACCGTTTCCTTCCCTGGCCGCTTTTTAACTAAAGTTACTAGCAAGCAATACAATCTTCCTTTCAGTCCCGCTTAGCCCAGTAAATATGCGAATAAGGAAACCAACACAAATTGGTAGAATCCGGAAGAAAATGCAATCAGTTGAATGAACAATCCGCAAGCTGCCAGTGACCCGGGGTTGGTTCCAGATCAACTGGGAGAGAGCTCAGGCCGCTTCCTGCGTGCAAGCCCTCCCCCTCCAGCGCTGGGTCCCTTGCGGAACGCCTCCCCCAAATCCTTACCTGAGGGCAGCTTTGTTTTCTGGATGCTCAGGGAAGCGGCTGGTGGGGAACTTGCTGGAAGATTAATAAAGCTAGGGGAGGGTTTGGCTGGACAAAGAGGCACGGCGTTACTTTCCTCTTTGGCTGGAACAAAATCAGAGGCAACTACTCAGAGTCACTTCTCACAAGGGACGGCCTTCCTAACTCGACCCCTGCCTTTGGTCTATGAACACAGGTACCAAGGCCCTGGGCTGAATAGCTCCGAAGGAAGTGACGTAAGACAGACAAAAAAGAAACCACAGTGGGAGTAGGGGAAGCCAAGCAGGGATGGGCTCAGCTAACATCTGACAAGTTCTCGTGGACGTGTGCCACGTGCTTACTCCTGTGCTGGACACTCGTGCATCACAGGGTCTCGAACTCGTGGCTTCCCAGGGCCTATCTCTTTGGCAGACGAATAGCACACTGATGACGAAATGTGAGATATAACCACTCAAGGACCGGGACGCCTGGGTAGCTCAGTGGGATAGGCCTCTGCCTTCCACTCAGGTCATGGTCCTGGGGTCCTGGGATTGAGGCACATATCGGGCTCTCTGCTCAGCAGGGAGCCTGCTTCCCCCCTATCCCTCTGCCTGCTTGTGATCTCTGTCAAATAAATACATAAACAAATAAATAAAATCTTAAAAAAAAAATAACCACCCAAGGACCTAAATAATGCGCTTCTGACAATCTGGGTGAAAATGAGACCTTTGTTGCTATTATTGTTATTATTATCTCTAAGATTTACTTATTTATTTGAGAGAGAAAATCTCAAGCAGACTCTGCACTGAGCATGGAGCCAGGTGCAGGGCTCGATCTCACGACCCGGAGATCACGAGCCGATCCTACATCAAGTCAGACCCTCAGCCGACTGCGCCACTCAGGTGCCCCGAAAACGAGGCCTTTTATCTCATAGTTATCCTAAGTATGTGACTGGATGCAGAAATGGATGCTTCCGGAAAGGAACAAGAGCTCAAGACAAGTCTGGGAGTCAGGGAAGACCCCAGGCCAGGAGAGGGTATCTACCAGAAAAGATACCTCAAGTGGGGAGGAAAGAGGCTCAGGAGAGCAGGTGAGCCGCGGGGGGCCCTTCACAACAGTAAGTCTGAGACTTCCGGCTTTCTCCTGGATCCGGTGGAAAGCCACTGAGCCTTTTAGGATCAGAAAATGTGATAAAAACTCTATTTTATTAATTTACAGGAATTAAAAGAGGCTGGATGTGAAAGAAGTTCTGAACGGGGAAATACATAATCTTTGGCACAAATAATTAAGTTAGAAGGAAAAGTGCATTTGTAGGGAGAAGGTCATGGGTCCCACAGAAGACATGTGACAATTTTGTTTAGTGAGCAACACTTCCTCTGGAAAAACTACTCTTCTCAGATTCCAGGCCATTCTGGTTGGGACCGCACCAGGCCCGGCTCCCCAGGAGGAAAGGGCCTGGGACCCAACACAGGCCAACCACGGTATCTCATCCTCCTTGGCCATGTGGCTGATCCAAGCGTAAGCACGAGGGGCCGGGGTGGAGTGCACATACGGACCCTGCTGTCCAAGCAGCTTGCTTTCTTCTGATCTGCTATGCTGGGAAAATGTGAAGTTGGGGCAGAGGAAAGCTACTGAATTTGGCCAGCATGCCACAAGGAGCAGACACAAGCAAGAGAGCACAGACAAGAGCGCAGGGGAGAGATGGACGGACAGACGGCTGCAGGCAGCATGTCCCTCAGTGCAGCCCAGGAGGCCCCCGCTCCCGCAGGGCCTTCTTCCTGTCCTGCCACCATCTCAGCCTCCCTCCCAACTGCACAAGCCTCTGAATTTCCTTGTTTACCCAAGGAAGTCTGGGTCGGGTTCCCATCAGATTAACGTAACTCACATTTTGGACATAGTGAATGAGTGGAGACAAGACAGTCCAAGTAGAAATGCCTAGAAAAACAGCCAGAGGTAGCACTGAGCTCAGGGGAAAAGTCAAACTGCCAGGCCAGCCCCAAAAAGGGGAGAAGGAAGGTGCAAAAATAAATCAGCTCTCTAGAGTGAAAAAATGGGAGAGCAAAAATGGGACCTTGGGGAGCTCTTCCTCGGGAGTTTGAAGATGAGAAGGAAGCAGCCAAGCGTACAGAGAGGCAGCGGATGGAGAGAGGCAAAGCGTCTGGGTCTCCAAGGGAGACTGCGAGTCATTGCCAGGCCGAGATCAAGGGGGACAGAAAGACTCCGCCGGTTCACTTCCACACCTAGGAGACAGCTCGATGCCCGTGAGTGTCCACCACTGACAATGCCACAGCAAGCAGACCCACGTGGTTGCGACTCTCAGGGAGCTGACAGCCCGGCGGTGTAGACAGCCACTAAGCGACTCTCAGGGAGCTGACAGCCCTGCGGTGTAGACAGCCACTAAGCAACTGAGCATGTGTGTCATTCTACCGGGAAGAGTGAGAGAGCACCTAACCTAGAACCCATCTGGGCAGCCGGGGAATGTGTTCCCCAAAGCGATCCTATCTCAGCCGGGATCTGGGGATGAAGATTAAGGACGGCTGTCTTCAGAAAAAACAAGCCTGGGGCAGAGGTGTGACAGGCAGGTTGAATGAAGGAAGACGTCATGTTCTTGTCCTTAACTCCAAGTACAACAGAGGAGGGGACCCCACCCCGGGGCAGGGGGCAGAGAGTCCTCATAGCCGGGTGCCAGGCTGAGGTCCTCTCTACTTGGAGACTCACTGGGCCTATGAAAATGCAAATCTGTTGGGGCGCCTGGGTGGCTCAGTGGGTTAAGGCCTCTGCCTTCGGCTCAGGTCATGATCCCAGGGTCCTGGGATGAGCCCCCCATCAGGCTCTCTGCTTCCTTCCTCTGTCTGCCTGCTTCTCTGCCTACTTGTGTTCTCTGTCAAATAAAATAAAATCTTAAAAAAAAAAAAAGGCATATGAAAATGCAAATCTGTTTTATTCCCTACTACTCCTAGTGAAGGTGAAGGAAACTCGTCTTTGGGGTTTTTTTAGGCTGCGTTTGTGCATCTTCCAAGCCCTGCTGTAGGCCCCCCATTTCCTTTTCCCCACGTCTCATCTGTCATTCGAAGGCTCCTGCAGGATGGTACGAAGACAGAAGCTGAAACTGGGGGTCTCGAGATTAATGTCACCATTGGAAAAAAATCTAACTTCCATACAAATGCACTTCTCCACAATTCAGTCCCTTCCTAGGTATAGGAGGATATATTTTCCACCAGGCTGGAAGGTGTGAGGGTGGGAGGAATACTGACACACAACGCACGTGAAGGAACCACACCTCCGACAATACAAAGGGGAAGGAGGCTGGGAAGCAGCATCAGGACACAGAACACAGAAAATAAAGGGAACAGGTGCTTTATGGACATTATCTATTTCTCACAATGACCTTAAGAAGTAGGTAGCTTTCTCCACATTTTATCTGAAAAAACTTAAGTTAGGAAATTTGCTTAGGATTCCACAACTAGCCACGTGGCAGTGCTGGGGTTAAGTCCGGGCCTGGGGGCTCCATGGTTATGCTCTTTACCAGCCCCGATGACTGTGAAGACAGTCCGTTCTAAGCTGTGACACAGCCCGCCCCTCCGGTGGGAGTCATCTACTCCACCCACGGTTAAGTGGCTGGCTCTGCAGTCGGCTGCTCCAGGCACCTCCCAGTCCGCTGAGTGGGACTGAGTGGGACTGCGCCGCCGCCGCCCCGCCCCCGACGGAGTATCTGTTTACTCTTCCCAACACTAGGTCTCCTGGAATCCCTGCACATGGAGTCCTGTTCTAAGCAGTAAGAGGGAAAACAAAGGAAGAACAATGTATTCCCTCAACGTGTCTTCGAGCAACTATCATGTAACAGATCCAGTTCTAGGCACTGGGAAGACAGCAATGTACTTACTTTATTTATTCATTTATAAAGGAAGGTCTACGCCCAGAATGGAACTCAAACTCGTGACCCTGAGCTCAAGAGCCACAAGCTCTGCTGAGGGAGCCCGCAAGGCGCCCCAGCAACGTTTCCATTTGATGGGAAACCGTAGAACAGCCACAAATACGTTCCACTTAACAGAGAGAAGAGGGGAAAAAAAAATACAACTAGAATCACTTTCCCAAATTCTGAGCAATTAAAGAGGCCTGGCTTTGGTGTGTGTGTGGCGGGGGGGGGGGGGCGTGCAGGGCCTCGGACACACACCTTCTCCGCTGGGATGGCCAGCACGCTGCTCCATCGGGACACCAGCAGGTGTGGTGCCTGGGGAAGAATCATAGCGTTACAGGCCCGACAACCCACGCTGTCACTACTAGCGACAGTTCGGGCTCTCTCCGGCGCATCTCGGGAGGCGCGCGCGGGAGAGCAGGTCCTGTTCTATGTCACGGCCAAAGGTGCGCGGCCGCGGAGTCGCCGGCGCTCTCACGGTGCTGCGCTAGCTCGCAAGCAGGTCTGTCACCGTTGCTCCCGCCCTTCAGCACAGAGCGGTCGTGAACTACGCCCAGACCTTCACGAAGAGCCTCCCGCGAGCGGCGCTTCCACCACGGCTCCGTTCCGCAGCAGCAGCCCCCCTCCTGCCCTGCGAGGCCCCGGCTCCCCACCATCTCCGTGGGGCGGGAGTGGGGCGCAGGAGGAGGGCGCTGGGGAGCCGGGACGGGAGCCCCGGGGGCGCGCTCCGGGCGGGACAGCAGGCGGGCGTCTGCGGGAAGCACCTGCCGGAAGGAGCGCGGGGGGCGCGCGCGGGGACTCGCCGCGCGCCCCGAGAAGGGCTCTGCCACCCAGCCGGCCCCAGAGACCCAGCTCCCGAGGCGGCCCGTGCCGCTGCTCCTCCCGCAGCTAAGGCTGGAAAGGGCCCCCCGCGGCCCCAGCGCAACCCGCACGCCGGCCGGCTCGGGCACCTCACCTGCGCTGTTACTCTAAAGCCTCCGGCCCGGCACCCACCCTGGTAGTTGACACACATGCGCGGTGGCGCGCCGGCCAACTGCCCCGGCCTCCGCGCTTGCGCCGACCTGCGCGCCGCACGCGGCCGGGAGCGGCCACCCTACTGCGCAAGCGCCCGCGCCCTCCCCGTGCCTTCACCGCGCGCTCTCCATCTAGCTTGCCCGGCCGTTCTGGCGTCGAGGGCGGGGCTAAGGAAGCCGATTGGCCGGTCTTCGTGCCGGTCAATGAGCTGGCTGCGGTGATTGGCAGCGACCCGGAGGGTAGCGGGTTAAGGTGTGAGCCTTGAGGAGGCAGCGTTTTCTGGGCTTCTCTCTGCTTCTCTCTCTCCAGAAGGTTCTGCCGGTTGCCCCAGCTCTGGGTACCGGGCTCTGCATCGCGCCGCCATGATGGGCCATCGTCCGGTGCTCGTGCTCAGTGAGTTGGGGGGAAGCCGGGGCAGGGACCCCCTTTCCGCCCCTTCCCTCCGCACTTCGCCGTGTGGCCCCAGCCCGGTCCCGCCCGGGTCCGGCCGCGCAGCCTTCCCGTCGCCGTGCGCCTCGGAAGCCTCCTCTGCCGCTCCCCCGAGTGCCCCGAGCCGGGTCCCTTGTCTCCCTGCCCCTGGCCGAGCCGCCGGGCTGCGGGCACTCGCGCTCTCCGCGCCGCCGCACCCCTGCTCTCGTGGTTTTCGGTGCGGGGCTGGGGAGTGGGATGTGGCCTGGCCTGGCCTCGGCGCCGTGGCCGGTGGGTCCGTGGCCGCGGGGCCCCGCCGGATCGCCTGGCTCGAGCTTGCGGTCCTTACTGGGGGCTTAGCAGCCTGTCCTCGTGGGATGGGGGGATTAGGTGACGGGGGTGAGCTGCCGAAAAGGGGTTCTGCGCACAGCCAGTGATACCCGCGGTCAGTCTCAGTGACAGCCCCCCGGGGTCACTCTCCAGCGACGCGCTGCGGGGGTCCGGCTTGGATGTAATTCGTCCCGCGGCGTCCTCTGCGCTGCGATCTTTCTGCGGAGTTTTCCTGAATTCCTCTCTGAGGAGGACCTCCTCCATTGTCTTCCCTTGGGCTGTTCCCATTTTTCGGGTAACTTCTGCACCCCAGCTATAAGCTCTTGTCCCTCCCTTACGGTTTTCGGTATACAAAATGCAATAACGCGATTTTCTCCGTTTTCCATGTACCTAGGAAATAACTGTTTTCAGAAAAAAAAGATTCACCTAACTGGGGCAAAGCCGCGTCCCTTCTGATGAGTCTGCCAGACAGTCCAGGCAGGATTTTAGTCACCGCGGCCTGAAACGGGAATCCAAATTCCGAGGGTTCTGAGCGAGTAGATTTGATGGGACTGGGTGAAAATTTTACCCATTTACCTTGTAGGGAGTGTGTAATTTGAGAGAGGAGGGAGATCAGCATTATGTTGGTTTGGTGGGAGCCACGGGCTTGTCTCCATCGGGAGGGCCCAGGGGTGAGTGGTGCATGGTGAAGCCTTTTTCAGGCCTGCGTTTATCCCTGGCACTAGTGGCTAGAACCGAGTAGGCCCCGTCAGGATACGTGCTTAGCTCTGGCTGACGGTAGGGGTCCCTGAGACATTCCTATTATATCCAGGTGTGGAGCGAGTGTATCTTGTAACCGAGCCCCTCTCAGAGCATGTTCTCACTGCACAGCACACCGTGGGGCCACGTCAGTGACTACGCCGGGACTGCCAATGTGATTCCCTCTGCCCAAGTAGGAAGATAGGAACCCCCAAATTCTTTCCTTTTTTACATAAAGCAGTGATTGATGCTTTTTTTAGGTCACCGGTCCTTTGAGAATCTGATAGCTCTAGAGCCCCTTGCCAGACAAGAACACAGTATCTCCCCATTTTCTGCTAACACCCAGGAGTTCACCATTCCACTAGGGCTCATTCGTGGACTTCAGGTTATGAATCTGCTGTAAACACGTGAATGTCTGGCTCATGGAAGGCGATGACCAGGGTTCCAATGTTGAGGTGTTAGGGATTGGTTGTACGCCAGGGCTTGACGTAAAGAAGTAGCCACAAGTACGTATACTTACTTTTTTAACAGTTTTTTAAGGTACGTCAATACGATAACTTACACGTATTTGAAGGGTACGGTTCGATGACGGTTGATCTTTGTTACGTCGTAAAAACGGTGTGTGTTTTATTTTCAAAGATCAGGGAATGAGAGTTTCTATACCGTGGGTGAATCCTGGTCTGTTGCATTTTATTTTATCTGTTTTAGGCCAGAACACAAAGCGTGAATCTGGAAGAAAAGTTCAATCTGGAAACATCAATGCCGCTAAGGTAGTGTGTCTTTTAAGTAGTTGAAAGTTGATTAGTTTGCCTCCAGCTGCCTTCCCTGGTACTTTTGTATTCATTTGCAATTAGGCAGAAGAAAGTGTCCTTTCAGGCCATTTCTCTTATGGTGGTAGGTAGAAGGATACCCTCCCACAATGAGTTAGGCCTAATAGCTGGGCATAATTCTGTTAATGTATATTGTTTTGTAACCTGCTTGTGTCTGCCTGCCATTCCCCACGAGTTACTTGAGGGGAAGGACTATCTTCCTGTTAGCATTCCTAGTGCCCACTGTAGATCCTGGCGGGGTACTCAGCACATGGTTCTGGACGAAAGAGTGACACCGTCCCGGAGCTGATTTAGCGGGGTGTGGAGGCCCCTGTCGTGGGAAGAAATGCTAACACGTGGACCCGCAGTTACCTGAGTTATGGGAACCTGAAGCTCCGGAAGCCACGTCCCCTTTTCCTGTGAAAAATTCATTCTGTGTCCACCCTGAAATCGCTCCCGGGGGAGAAATCGCAGCCCCTGGGCGTGTGACGTCCTGTACCGAACGTGCCTTCTAACACACACACTTACGGGTCTTCTGACCAGTGGTACGTGTCTGTCATTTTCTTTTTGATAGACCATCGCAGATATCATCCGCACATGCTTGGGACCCAAGTCCATGATGAAGGTAGGCCTGTCCCTTCCTGAACCTTCTGACTTCAGATTTTCCCTGTCTGTTACCTGGAACAGGTGTAACTTAGGTATGACTTACTTTTGTCCTAGATGCTCTTGGACCCAATGGGAGGCATTGTGATGACCAATGATGGCAACGCCATTCTTCGAGAGGTGTGACTTTTCGTTCGCTTTCCAGTGTCCGCTTCGGCAGCACACATACTAAAGTTGGAACGTTTTGCTTTCTAACAATTTTATAAAGGGCCCGTAAAATTATGTATACATGATGGTTAGTTTCTTAGGACTGCTGTGGCTTTAAACAGAAATTTATTTTCTCATAGAGTGGAGGCTAGAAGTGCAAAATCAAGGTGTCAGCAGGGCCCTCCTCCTTCTGAAAGCTCGAGAAAAGAATCTGTCTTTGGTGCTACCAGCATCTGATGGTTGATCGCAGTCTGTGACATTCCTTGGCCTGTGGACTCAGTCTCCTTTTTCTTTTCTTTTAAGATTTTTATTTATTTGACAGCAGGCACAAACCGGTGGAGAGGGAGAGGGAGAAGCAGGCTCCCCGCCGAGCAGAGAGCCCAACATGTGGGGCTCCATCCCAGGGCCCTGAGATCATGACCTGAGCGGAAGGCAGAGTCTTAACCCACTGAGCCACCCAGGCACCCCCTGTCTCCTCAGTTGTTATAGGCCATTCTCCTGTTGTGGCTCTGTTATAAGGACAACAATGGTTGGATATAGGGTCTGTCGTAATATCATGCATGATCTAATTTGTAGAGCTTGATTACAACTGCAAAGACCGTGTTTCAGTAACATTCCCATTCACAGTTTCCAGAGGGTAGGACTTCAGCTGTCATTTTGGAAAACACAGTTCAGCTGCAATAGTGGGACTCCTGGGAAGTAAGCTATGAAAGAGGCTCTTCTGTCTTTGAGAAACTTGAGTGGTTGAGTTGGGACGCATTTTTCCCTAAAAAGAGGGGGACTTGGAGAGAGGATTCACTTAGATATTTTGGAGACCCCTTAAAATCATTTAAGCTGTTGTAAAACGGTACTGGGTAAGGGAGAGAATGTAACAGCTCAAGAGTCAGGACCCAGTGGAGTGGTTTCTGAGGTCTCTGAGTAGTGCTGATTCCATGGCAATCTGCGTTTTCCTTCTCAGATTCAAGTCCAGCATCCAGCAGCCAAATCCATGATTGAAATTAGCCGGACGCAGGATGAAGAGGTTGGAGACGGGACCACATCAGTAATTATTCTCGGTAAGAGGAGGACAGCAGTGCTGATAAGGAAAGCTCGATTGAAACATGAGGCTTTTTCCCTTTTTTTTTTTTTTTTTTTAAGATTTTATTTATTTGGAGCACCTGCCTGGGTAGTTCAGTCATTAAACATCTGCCTTTGGCTCAGGTCATGATCTTGGGGTGCAGGGATCGAACCTGATATTGGGCTCCCTGCTCAGCGGGGGGCCTGCTTCTCTTTCACTCTTGCTCGTGCATGCGTGCTCTCTCCCTCCCTCTCTCTGTCCGGTAAATAAATAAAATCTTTAAAGATATATATGTTTATCGGAGAGAGAGACACAGATCACAAGCAGTGGGGAGGGGTACAGGGAGAAGGGGCCCACGTAGGACTTGATCCCCATGACCTGAGCTGAGGGTAGACACTTTACCTACTGAGCCACCCAGGTGATCAAAACATGAAGATTTTTATCGGAAATAACATCTGTGTCCTGTTTTAAGAAGGAAATTATTACTAGTCTGCTAATTACAAATATTTAAATAATTTATTGGTAATTTTTTGTGTATTTTCTCCAAGTGAGCATAAAACATTCATCATAGTGTAGGATGAACTAAAAACCTAGTTGAACAAAATACAGTGGGTTATTGTCATTCACGGTAAGTTGCATTCTAGAAAGTCACCACAGACGCTGAGTTAGCAATCGCTGAACCGTCTGTCCTGGAGTAGATAAGTGTCAGGCTCCTTTGAGCCTCTTCACACGCTCTGTAATATATACACACCTTATTGTATTTGTTTGGGGGGTGTGGGAAGGGGGGGCAGAGGGAGAGAAACCCAAGCAGAGTTCCCACAGAGATGGGAGCCTAGAGCCTGATAGGGTGCTCGATCCGACGACCATGAGATCATGACAGCTGAACCAAGAATCAGG